CCAATACCCATGATCATCTCTATGATCATCTATCACACATCATACTAGTCTTAGTACATCATTTGTGACAACCCAGGATACCGTGGGAGGGCGGAGAGTGATCGTCAGTGCGAGAGGCATGGACAAGGGGCGACTCTTGATGAGCTTCTGGGTAGGGGGTACAGGGATGAAGGAACGCACCGGAATGAGAGGGATCTGAGGGCTATGTAGGTATGGGACTATACAGTCTAAGATAACTTAAATGAATTAATTGAGCTACTCATAGCAACAAGATGCATCTACCTTTTCGTTTCTCCATCTCGAGAGAACTCCAAAGTTAAGCGTGCTGGCTCTGGAGTAGTCTTAGGATGGGTGACCTCCTGGGAAGTACTTTCCGGGATGTGTGCGAGTGAGGACAAAACACGCTAAAAGGTCCCATGTTGGTGTGTGGGGACAGCTCTATCATTCTGTATCGGCTTCGGGTCGTTACAAATGGTATCAGCGCCGGTTCTCTCCCAGTACGGTGTGGTTCGAAGATGAACCAGGCGGAAGCTGGTGGGCCTGTGACAACCCAGGATACCATAGGAGGGCGGGAGTGATCGCCGGTGCGAGAGGCATGGACAAGGGGCGGCTCCTGACGAGCTTCTGGGTAGGGGGTACAGGGATGAATCGAACGCACCGGAATGAGAGGGATCCGAGGGCTGTGTAGGTATGGGACTACACAGTCTAAGATAACTTAAAGGAATTAATTGAGCTACTCATAGCAACAAGATGCATCTACCTTTTCGGTTGCCCATCTCGAGAGAACTCCAAACTTAAGCGTGCTGGCTCTGGAGTAGTCTTAGGATGGGTGCCCTCCTGGGAAGTACTTTACGGGATGTGTGCGAGTGAGGACAAAATACGCTAAAAGATCCCATGTTGGTGTGTGGGGATAGGTCTATCATTCCGTATCGGCCTCGGGTCGTTACATCATTGTTCCCACAATGACATATGACTAGGGAGTTTAGTATTGTTCATAACAATACATGGATTTCATAACATATTAAAGTATGCAGAATATGTAATGAATCAAACATTCATCTATAAAACCATAGTAAACCATAGTAAGTATCAATACATCAAATGTATCATAATAAAGCTCATACAACAGTTCATCATAGAGCACTAAACCGACAAGGATCCAACCCGAAGCAGAATAACCCACTTTACAATGTAACATATTCTTAGCCAATGGCCGAAGCTTGAGAATCCGTTTCCCAAGCTCCGTGAACTAAGAATCCATATTGGACGCCTAGTAGTTGCCTTATTTCTTTAAATCTTATTGTGTATTTATGTTGTATTTCTCGATCCTTACATATACATATAAAAAATAGATTATTCTACTTGCAAACAATCACAAACACTACAAATTCCTTCAATAATCACGTAATGAAGAGGGGCAGATCCACATATAGTCTGATGGAGTCCCATGGCCATGCCCCACTAAAAATTTTAATTTGTTTATAATATTTTTAGAAAAAAATTCTTTAAAATTCCTAAACTTGTAATATTGTGGAAAACTAATTCCTGAACTTGGAGATGTGGCCATTTATTCCCGAACTTAAAAAATTGGACACAATAATTCCTAAAATTGCTTAAAAGCGTGATAATCGTCCTTACCATAAATTTGACCAAAATAATATGTTGAATAATTCTACGTGGCACATGAATTGTCAAGACACATCAGATTTTAATGCCATGTATGTAGAATCGAGTTTAATAGACACGCAAAAATAACAATTTGGAGAATGTTTCTGGGTCCATCGATGGCGTTTTCCATCGCCGTGTCTCTTCCTTAATCGACGTCGTTCTCACTAGAAAATTTGAATGAAAGAGATCTAGCCCCGATGATGGTTATTTTGATGCCAAATCTCTTGTTTTCGGCGGAGATGTCATCGATTTGGATCTAGACCTCGAGAACTGATACTGATGGTAATTATTCCAATCTCCGTCACTATTCTAGATCTTCCGGTGAACAGAAATTTTCACTATTACGAATCGGTTTGTTAAACCGTGTCTATTAAATCCAGATATACATACAGGGCATAAAAGTCTAACGTGGCTTGACAATTCACATGCTACGTAGGATTGTTCAACATATTATTTTGGTCAAAATTATTGTTAGGACGATTATGACACTTTTAAACAAGTTTATGAATTATCGTGTACAATTTTTTAAGTTTGGGAATAACTATGCGCACCTCCAAATTTAGAAACTAGTTTTCCACCATATTACAAGTTCAGAAATTTTTTGGGGTTTTTTCTATTTTTTTAAACTTTAATAAATAATGGAAGAGATCGCCTTAAATTTTTGTATGTGCCCCTCTTCCCACTCTTTTAGTTTTTTTTAAATTTCTCTCTTTTTAAAAAAAAAAATTAGGTGATGTGCCGTCTCTTTTTTATACTTTATTTTCCAACTATTTTTTTTAATCTCTCACTTAATTCTAAAAAAAACATTGTATAGATCTAATATTAAACGACAATCAGATTAAAAATAAAATGACTGATTTTATGTGTTGTCACTATGTCTCATGGGAGATGTTTTTTACTCATAAAATTTGAGAATACAATTTTATGTAACCGGATTGGTGATCGATTTTTGAGTGTTTGTCAACTTATTTCATCGAAAAAATATTTATATTATATAGACGTAAATAAAGTTATTATGGATAGATTTAAAAAAATGAAAAATCATAAATTTCAATTGTAAAATATATATATTTTTGTAACAATTTATTTTTATTAATTTTATTATATATATTATAACTATAGCCTCGATAAAAAAAAAAATTTTAGATCCGCCAATGGTCGATGATGTAAAAGCATATTGTTACGTATCACCATCTATAATCCACCACATGAATTTGATGGCATGGATTGCCACGTACATATTAAGGAATGCAGAAAATTGTTTGGATATTTTTGTCGGTGCAATATAAATGTTGTTTTATTATTAATTTTTTAAAAAGTGTGTGAACTTTTTGTTGATATCCTATAAATATATAAAACCTAAGCCTTTAGTTTATATTGCAATTGATTCTATATTCTAGTGGAGACTAAATAATACATTTCTAGTAAAAAATCATAATTCTGCTTAATAAATATTATATATATATAGATATAGATCCAATTATCACAATTTATAAGTATAGAATCGTTTATTTTAATAAAAATGATTATTAGAATTTTCTTACGGAAAATATTCGTGGATATTTTTTCATTTTGAATATAGTGAAGATTTTTCTATTTAACAAAAATAAATTTAAGTGAAAGACATAAGAAAATGGTGAACCTATTTTGGTTCTTGTAGAAAACGAGAAGAAGAGAAATATTGTAGAAAAACAAAGAAGAAAAGGGAAGAGCTCCCTTGGTTCGTGTGTGTTATTTTGTATACAATTTACAACATTTATATAATGTAAAATAGATCAAAATGCAATCACAAAAGAAGAAAATAAAATATCACTAAAACGGCTATTTTTGTAATCTTGTTGATTGCCTTCAATCTTGTCAAGAATTATTTTCTTCCATATTCTCTTGATTTGCAACGTGGATAATATCTTCTTAGTCTTCATTTGCATCATATATTCCAACATATAGGTCCCAAACATTAGGAAAATAATCCATATGTTACATGTACCAAGTCACCTAAATCGTATAGAAACAAATCCGACTGTTTAGATTATGAACAAATTCCATGCTTATAAATTCCAAACATTTGAAAACGAGAATCGTACCAACAATATCAAAGCTATTGATATTGTCTTTTGGAATGGCATCTCATGTCTTCATGGTTGGTCGGACGACCATTTTGATGTTGTTTCTTGTAACCATGGCGTTGATAAGCACAACCTCCTTCGCAGAATTGGATGAGGTTGAGATACAAAGGTACTTGAAGCGAGTCAACAAACCCGCTGTTAAATCCATAAAGGTACGTAAGAGCACATGCAATATAAGCTATAAGATTTTCTTTGTGATATGGTTATCCTCTTTCTACGACTTCGGCTGGATTTTTGTAAAAAAACCTCTCTTTTGATTTAAGGGATAGATTTACCTACCAAAAAAAAAAAGATTTTCTTCTTTCTTATTGGTATTGTAACTTGAGTTTTGAGATGATTATTATTAATGATTTTTTTTTTGTTATGGCATATTTTTGCTTCAACTTTTTCATATTTGTGTTAAATAGAGTCCAATAGAGTCCCGATGGAGATATAATAGATTGTGTTGATATGTACAAACAACCGGCTTTTGATCATCCTTTGATGAAGAACCACACAATTCGGGTATGGGAGAAGTTGTTTCTTTGACTAATATTTTCTATTGGTACCATTGATTTGATTTTTTTTTTCACACCATTTTCTTGTGTTTTTTTTTTCATGGAACGATGTCAATTAGCTGGACCCGAGCTTTCTCCCAAAAAATCAATCCATTAACACCGATGGAAAACTTCAGCCCCTAACTCAACTGTGGCATAGGAACGGAAAATGTCCAGGAAACACAGTTCCGATAAAAAGAACAACAAGAGAAGATCTCTTGCGGTGGGGTTCCATCAAAACATACGGAAAAAAGGATCCAAGTTATGGCATCTATAATCGTCGCAACCGCCTAAACGAAAATTCATATGTGCATGAGGTATATATTCACACGGTAGACGTAGAGTTGTATCTAACTTTGAGCTGTCATTTAAAATCTATTCTAATTCCATCGTTCCTTTTTTTTCCTTGCATGTTGCATTAGTACGCCGTAATCCAATCGCAGAATGTTGGAAAATATCTTGGGGCCGAAGCCAATATCAATCTATGGAAACCACATGTCGCACACGTGGAGGAATTCAGTGTGGCCCAGATGTGGCTTGCAGCCACTAATCAGAGTCTAGAGGATCAGAACACGATCGAAGTGGGCTGGGAGGTGCCTTGTTTCTGATAACTTTTCACAAATTAAATATTCTCACTTTATTACACATCAAATACCAAACACATAAAACACACATTTACGTAGGACCCACACAAACTACTCTCTACGAGCAGGATCACAGAAGTTTTCTTCACTCTACAATAATTTATTTGTCTATTAATACATGCTCTTTATAGAGCCTTTTGATAACTGACGCAAACCCGATGAAAAAACCATAACACTTATCTATTAAAAACTGTAATAAAAAATGAACTTGATCCATAGTTCCAACAGTTTCATCCTCTATATACTATCTTTTGTTTTCCCTTGGATCTAAGTGGGTTGGCAGGTGAACTTTGATGCTGTTTTTTTTTCTCCTTGCACTTGTTGATAGGCGTATCCAAAACTGTATGGCGATGATACCCCCAGGCTCTTTGTTTTCTGGACTGTAAGTCACCCCCTGCCGGTCTAATATTTTGTCGTACTTTTTCTATGTTGGAGCTAAGCTAACAAGCCATTTCTCATCGCCAAACAGTCTCAGAATTACCAAAATGGATGCCGCAACCTCCTATGTGAAGGCTTTGTTCAAAAATCTGGCACTAACGCGGTTGGAGCAGCCTTGGAAAAATTCTCGACTTACAATGGCCAAAAGATAGATATCCACGTAACTGTAAGGAAGGTAAGAAAGATGGAGATCCGAATTCTCTTGCCTAAATAAAAGAGCATGGCATTTATGTAATGGTTTTGGTAGGATCCCTTTTTCGGAGATTGGTGGTTGATAATCAACGGAGTATCTATCGGGTATTGGCCGAGGTCGCTCTTCACATCTATGCAGGACTTCGCGGATCGCGTGAGCTTTGGTGGGGAGATCGTGAATGCACAGATCGGAGGCGAGCAGCACACAGAAACCACTATGGGGAGTGGCCACTTTTCCTGGGAAGGGTTCGGCAAGGCGTGCTCCATGGATCAAATCTACGTGTACAATGAGCGGGGCACAAAGGCATGGCCCCATGTTACTGATATCTCGACCACAAATACACATTGTTACGATTTATCACTCGGGACCAACGACTTGGGAACTTATATCTACTTTGGGGGACCCGGTAGAAACGTTAATTGCCCCTAAATGTTAACGTACGCGACGTTGTGAAATTACTCTTTCTGATTAAGATAAAATTGTTGACACTTTATGTTCGTGAGAACTAAATAGTCAGTTTTATAGTTAGAGATTTATTTATTTGTTTTTTTAAAATATAGTTATTTTATTATTAGATATGTTGGATAAAAAAGTATGATTTTTTTAGCCGACATCCTATGCTTAAACTTCTAATGCAACTATGTTATATATTCTAGTATCAATGGAGATCAATCGATTGTTGAGAATGCCTTGACTGAAACTTCTGCTGAAATTAGAGGGTTAATAAGGGTAGAAAAGTAATTGTATAGGGAGAGTTTGTTGGAGTCTGTTAACTCTGCATCGTATAAGCAGAGGATCTTCTTCTTCCTCCTGTAATTTTCTTTTCTTTACTGTTCTTTAAGTTCTGGGTTTGGGGAGAGTTTCTAGGTTGTGGGGTATATTGGTGTCTTTAGTTACAACAAAGAATAGGATTGATCGAACCCAGGTTAGATATCTCCCTAAAAACCCCGTTCCCGAAGTCTTTCCCATAGGATGGATAGTCTCTTGGAAAGAACATTGCAGGAATAAGTGAAGAAAGTACATATTCTAACACTGCGCTATCACTAGATCGCCAATGAAAATCATTCGATGACATGAATGTGGCGAAATTCGACAGTTCGAATCTAAGTTGTGGGACAAGTGTCATGACCACTAGAGAAAAGCAAAAAGCACTTGCCAACTTCAATGTCCTAGGAACTCGACATGATACTTCTCCAGGCTTAATCTCTTCAAAAAATGAAGAAAAGAAACAAAATGATAAAGAAGAAAAAAAAGGAGAGATGAAAGAATAAATGAAGAGACAACATACCTTAGGGAGAAAAACGGTAAATAGGTTTAGGAGAGTACTTAGGGGTAGTGATTACTCTTATGGTAGACTTTGGATGACATAGAAACCCCATGATTTGGAAAGTTAGTTAACAAGAGAGGATAGCTAGAGTAGTCTAGATTCGTATTCTCATGAGCTAAGCAATGGATATACAACTGATTTGAAAGTCATCAAAGACAAATCTCTAACTCACCGTCCTTCACAGACTTCTTGTTTCATTGATTCTATGCTCGAGGACGAGCAAAGATTTAAGTGTGGGGGGATTCGATGACGCGGATTTTATCTAGATTTTATACGAATATGTCTTTGGTTTCCAGATGGTTTGTGACAGCCCAGGATACTGTAGGAGGGCGGGGAGTGATCGTCGGTGCGAGAGGCATGGACAAGGGGCGGCTCCTGCAAGCTTCTGGGTACGGGATTACACAATCTAAGATAACTTAAAGGAATTAATTGAGCTACTCATATCAACAAGATGCATCTACTGTTGGGATTTTAGGCTACAGATTCCTAGCATGCGATCATATCGATCTAGGGTTTGGTTTACTAGGTTTCATGCAGCGGAAGGATAATCTAAACCTAGTCAAACGTCACACGCAACCAAAATCATCCGTAAAACCCCGACAGATCGTGTATATCACCGTAGGAATCGAATACTTACCTCTTTCCTGAAGATCTGAAAGTAGCGATCGATCCAGGGCCTGTTTTAATCACCAAGAGCTGAAAGTACAGCTCCTCTACACGTATCCACACCGACGGGAAGGATTCCAAACACTTTTGGAACTGATCTGCTAGGATCTGTGAAGTATATGAAGTGGGATCTAATCCCGGGAGCTAGAACTATGAAAGAAACGATTTCTTCTGAGTTTTTGCTCTGTTTTAGGGTTCCTTTCGTCTGTCTTAGGTTAAGGACGGCGTCCAATACCCTTTTTATAAGATAGGAACCCTAATCCTTGTGAAAAGAGACTTTTTCCGAGTATTGACTCGGTCCGAGTCAGAACTCTGACTCGGTCGAGTCAGAACGAATCAGCCCAAGCCCATTGTCAACTCTTGACTCGGCCCATTTAGTATTGACTCGGTCCGAGTCAAAACTTTGACTCGACCGAGTCAAAACATCAGCCAAGCCCAAAACACTTTCTGGGCTTCGACCCGCATGGAACTGACTCGGTCCGAGTCAAGTACTGACTCGGTCCGAGTCAGAAGGCTGAAAACGTCCCGACACTCTGATTTGATCCGAAAACGATTTTTCCGACCAAATCCAAGTCTTCCTTCCCGAAACTTCACATATAAGTCCATCCCTAAGGGTGTGTGACCCTGTAGGCCCATTCGCAGTGGCAGCAGCCTCGAGAACCATTCCCGATCTACAAGTCATGGTTAGCCTCTAGCAAGACGCCATGACCACCCACGTTGAATTGAGTCAGAGGTGATCTAACCAAGGCAATAACAGCTCGAGTTCTGATCCTTTATCTCACGATATCATATGTTGAACAAGGGCATGGTTTGAGCAACCCTTCAAGTTCAACCGCTTTCTCGTCTTGGCAAATCAACTAATAAAATAGATGCAACTTCATCTATAGCGTGGCCACGCATTTTCATAGTCCGACTTCCACGAGAGGGCCCAGCGATATCTCTCCTATTGAGGAGGTGATAAGTCCCATATTGCATGTCTATTATCTCCATATGATTCGTGAACGTATCTGATCAACGCCGTTATAATCATCCGGTTAAAGACGACGTTTAACGCAGTCAAGACACGCCACTCCTCACATCAGATACTCTAGACATCTCAGGTATGAGGATCCATAAACGAACCGCTGTATGAGATTCAAGTCATGACTCTGTCCATGTGACAATCTCATGCGGGTCAACCAGTCACTCGTTCACAACGAGTACCCATGATTGTGAAATGCATCCAATGCATCGATCACACCTCATGCTAGTCTTAATTCATCATTGTTCCCACAATGATAACTGACCAGGGTGTTTAGAATCATTCTATAATGATTCAAGGATACCGAAATATAACAAACATGCCAATCATATAACGGGAAGAGTAATGCATTCATAAACTAATGAATCAATATAAAGTCAAATGTCATATCACGGATCATCCTAGAGCATTACAACCAACAATCTCCCACTATGCTCTATGATCTATCCTACAAGCATCTAATCCCCATACCCCTAACATGACCATCATGTTTTGACGAAGTGAGAGGCTTCGTCATCGGGTCGGCAATATTATCATCTGTCGACACTCTGCTTATCTTCACGTCTCCTCTGTCGATAATTTCTCTGATCAAGTGAAATCGCCTGAGTATGTGCTTGGATCTCTGGTGTGACCGGGGTTCCTTAGCTTGCGCAATCGCACCATTGTTGTCACAATACAACTCAATGGGATCTGCAATGCTAGGAATGACGCCCAGGTCTCCCACGAATTTCCTGATCCAAACAGCTTCCTTAGCTGCATCCGATGCTGCTATGTACTCGGCTTCTGTAGTCGAATCTGCAACGGTTGGCTGTTTGGAACTCTTCCAACTGATAGCCCCACCGTTCAGGCAGAAAACATAACCTGACTGCGATCTGAAGTCATCTCTGTCGGTTTGGAAACTAGCATCGGTATAACCACTTATAGCGAGCTCGTCTTCCAATCCGCCATACACCAAGAACAAATCCTTAGTCCTTCTCAAGTACTTAAGGATGTTCTTGACCGCAATCCAGTGAGCCTCACCTGGTGTAGACTGATATCTACTAGTCATACTCAATGCATATGATACATCCGGACAAGTACACAACATGGCGTACATGATGGATCCAATTGCCGAGGCATATGGAATCCTACTCATGCGCTCTTGCTCATCCTGTGTCTTTGGACACTGAGTCTTGCTAAGAGCAACGTCATGTCCCATTGGCAAGGCACCCCTCTTGGAGTCTTGCATCTTGAACCGATTCAAGACCTTGTCAATGTATGTACTCTGACTTAGACCAAGAAGCCTTCTCGATCTATCTCTATAGATCTTGATTCCTAGAATATAGGCGGCTTCTCCTAAGTCCTTCATCGAAAAAACTGATCCTAGCCAGGATTTTACTCCTTGCAAGGTAGGAATGTCATTTCCGATGAGCAATATATCATCCACATAAAGTACAAAGAAGACCACTGCGCTCCCACTGACCTTCTTGTAAACACATGACTCATCTTCGTTTTGCAGGAAGCCAAACATTTTGACTGCCTCGTCAGATCGAAGATTCCAGCTCCTCGAAGCCTGCTTCAATCCATAAATGGATCTCTGAAGCTTGCACACCTTCCTCGGACTCTTAGGATCAACAAAACCCTCGGGTTGTGTCATGTACACATCCTCGAGCAAATTCCCGTTAAGGAATGCGGTCTTGACGTCCATCCTTCTGTTCTAGATCTGTCTTAGGGTTCTGTAAGTCGAGTTCTATCTTAGGACGGCGTCCAACACCTCCTTATAAGTTAGAAACCCTAATCCTTGTGAAAAGAGACTTTTTCCGAGTATTGACTCGGTCCGAGTCAGAACTCTGACTCGGTC